ATAGTCACTGATCTAACCCACACTGCCAGAGTGAGGCACCTAATCGCCAGCACACATAGTCACTGATCTAACCCACACTGCAAGAGTGAGGCACCTAATCGCCAGCACACATAGTCACTGATCTAACCCACACTGCAAGAGTGAGGCACCTAATCGCCAGAACACATAGTCACTGATCTAACCCACACTGCCAGAGTGAGGCACCTAATCGCCAGCACACATAGTCACTGATCTAACCCACACTGCAAGAGTGAGGCACCTAATCGCCAGCACACATAGTCACTGATGTAACCCACACTGCCAGAGTGAGGCACCTAATCGCCAGCACACATAGTCACTGATCTAACCCACACTGCCAGAGTGAGGCACCTAATCGCCAGCACACATAGTCACTGATCTAACCCACACTGCAAGAGTGAGGCACCTTATCGCCAGCACACATAGTCACTGATCTAACCCACACTGCCAGAGTGAGGCACCTAATCGCCAGCACACATAGTCACTGATCTAACCCACACTGCCAGAGTGAGGCACCTAATCGCCAGCACACATAGTCACTGATCTAACCCACACTGCCAGAGTGAGGCACCTAATCGCCAGCACACATAGTCACTGATCTAACCCACACTGCCAGAGTGAGGCACCTAATCGCCAGCACACATAGTCACTGATCTAACCCACACTGCAAGAGTGAGGCACCTAATCGCCAACACATATAGTCACTGATCTAACCCACACTGCAAGAGTGAGGCACCTAATCGCAAGCACACATAGTCACTGATGTAACCCACACTGCCAGAGTGAGGCACCTAATCGCCAGCACACATAGTCACTGATCTAACCCACACTGCCAGAGTGAGGCACCTAATCGCCAGCACACATAGTCACTGATCTAACCCACACTGCAAGAGTGAGGCACCTAATCGCCAGCACACATAGTCACTGATCTAACCCACACTGCAAGAGTGAGGCACCTAATCGCCAGCACACATAGTCACTGATCTAACCCACACTGCCAGAGTGAGGCACCTAATCGCCAGCACACATAGTCACTGATCTAACCCACACTGCCAGAGTGAGGCACCTAATCGCCAGCACACATAGTCACTGATCTAACCCACACTGCCAGAGTGAGGCACCTAATCGCCAACACATATATTCACTGATCTAACCCACACTGCCAGAGTAAGGCACCTAATCGCCAGCACACATAGTCACTGATGTAACCCACACTGCCAGAGTGATGCACCTAATCGCCAGCACACATAGTCACTGATCTAACCCACACTGCCAGAGTGAGGCACCTAATCGCCAGCACACATAGTCACTGATCTAACCCACACTGCAAGAGTGAGGCACCTTATCGCCAGCACACATAGTCACTGATCTAACCCACACTGCAAGAGTGAGGCACCTAATCGCCAGCACACATAGTCACTGATCTAACCCACACTGCCAGAGTGAGGCACCTAATCGCCAGCACACATAGTCACTGATCTAACCCACACTGCCAGAGTGATGCACCTAATCGCCAGCACACATAGTCACTGATCTAACCCACACTGCCAGAGTGATGCACCTAATCGCCAGCACACATAGTCACTGATCTAACCCACACTGCAAGAGTGAGGCACCTAATCGCCAGAACACATGGTCAATGATCTAACCCACACTGCCAGAGAGAGGCACCTAATCGCCAGCACACATGGTCACTGATGTAACCCACACTGCCAGAGTGAGTCACCTAATCGCCAGCACACATAGTCACTGATCTAACCCACTCAGCCACCGATGCTTCCACAAAGAGTGAATGTCCGACAACTATTAGACTAGATCACGTACTTTATAAGTTCCCTTTATAAAACCTGACGTTGTGAGCCCCTCTGTCGTTTTGGTACCATCTGCGTGAAAATTCGCGGAGGTCTAGACAACTTGACAAGATATATAACTAGAGTTTAGGTCAGTGTACAAATTACAGATCGTTAAAAAACATGTCACTCCTTGATCCAGTTGCCCTAGACGCAATATCGCCATCAGAAGCCTTTGATGCAGTAATATCATCGCCCCATGCACGTTGTCACTAATGCTGTTTAGTGCTGAGATCATGTGAATGGTAATTTATTCAGCAGCAGATATGGGAAGATGAGCATTGAAACACGCTCGCCATAGACACATTCCCTCTCCGACTTAAATATCACCAATGCCCTCATTGAGACGGGTGTGACAATAAGTGTAAAATTCGAATATATTTCGCAAATGTATTCCTTGGTTCAAATTCTAACAATACCTGCAACATTCAGATTTGGACACGTTTCTATTTTGAGAAGGCAACATGGACGGACAAGTTTCAAGGAGACTCCGATGAGATCAATATTGTCCAGGGAACGCTCTTCAGCAGATTTATGCTATTGTTAACTTTAACTGAATTAACTTATGTATTTGGATCACGTAAACTGTTTCAACATACATACCCCCTAAACATTCCTTGGTTTGATCTTCATAGTTATTGCCAAATGAGTTTCTACCTGGTAAATACAAACTGATTTCGTATGTGAGACTGTAAATGTCCATTTTAGCATGGCAAGTTACGCGTAGTCACATCAGTGGCCATCGTCCTCGGGTGACCAGGTTGTAAAGCTTTTTAGGCAGGAGACTGAATTCGACTAGGAATGAGCAGCCTTAAGACTCTCCAGTGATCAAATTATCTGAAAATCTACATAAATACTTCTCATTTTTAAACATTCATTATCTCTGTGACTACAGCTCCATGGCGGACGAGGTCTGTCGGATGTAGCAGGAACGACGTTCAACGTCTCGGGAAGTGATGGTAACCATCACAATTATCCCCAACCCTGGACTCGGCTCATGATCAGTACAAACAAGTTCAGCAGCTATGAAAATCATGTTGTTTGTTGCAAGTACATTCAAAGAAACGTTTTCGTGGCTACATTAATCACGGTATAGTGAGATTCAGTAACCGTGCATTTCATGCAACAGGTGTTGTACATTCGATCCAAAATTTCAATTAACATTTTCACAACTTGTCCACTACATACCCTGAACGTTTCGCCATCTGTTGCCAGACAAATGCACAAGTGCATTCGATCCCTTATAATACGTATATAGGTATAAGTTTAATTACACAAACATGAAATATCTTGCATATTAAACATTTCTAAAGGCATACATGTTGCATGACATTTATTAAATACTTACTCTATCGAACCAATATTAATTCGAGGAACATTTGGCAATTGTCGAGTTCTGGTGGATCAACATGTGGGCGATTCAGGCACCAAGTGACACATCATGTGTCAATTAACGCCTTCCTTAGTCCCATACAAACCATTCACGCTACAGCTGTCCAAGTCTAACATAATACGTCCAGCATACCATCGATGTAAAGCCTGTTTTTCTTATTTATATTTTCAAATAAATGGTTTCTTCCAGGGATACAATTCAATATCACTTGAACAAACTATAGCTGAACCTTGAACAGAAAGCAATCCCGATTACCCAGAGGAAAGATGAACCATATAGATGTACTGTTCTCCATTTTATCGTGTCCATGTATACATAACGTGTGTTGTTTCTGTAATAGTGACATCTATGGGGTTAACAAACTACAGTTGTGTCAGTTTATCAGGAAATAAGTGAAAGACGAGGGGCACTGTGACGGTTGCACTATGCACAAATACATAGGAGGATATGTGTGTTTGGTGATATGGTCAGGGGGACATAAGTGTTTCACGCTGTGTTGTTCTCCAACATCGTTTTGAATACTAAACTATCCTCCAGATCACTCAGGTCATATTATTCAGCCAACTAATAAGTAAAGCAATATAAACCCAACAACAATAATATTGCCAAATATACTCGATCACAGGTGGTTATGTTACAAACGAATACGTTTTATACATTTACGTGTACATTAAGCAACCTTAACCTGTTTATAGAACAATATCCTTATTTGACTACACTTTTTAAACCTCAGGTGAACAAAGTTGTAGGCATAAGGGGGAACAAATGGTAACGGGAATAGTGTTGCAGTTTTTTTTGTCTACCCGCAGTATTGCATAGTACTACTCTCGAGTAAATGCGTTGTCTGTCATTTTGCAGTACATGAGAGCGTCTGCCCGGAGAGCGGAAAGTTGGGTTTTTTTCCCCTGGTCGTCCTACCAAAATACGTTAAAAGATGGTAATTGTTGTTAGCCTGTCTGGCGCTCGGCATTAAAGGGCTAAAACAACACACACACACGCACACACGCACGCACGCGCGCGCACACACACACACACACGATCTTTATGTCAGGACAAGTTTCTAGTAATGATCTTTCCCATAATGACTAATTATATTTGCACTTATATTTGCATACTTTGCATACTGAAATCAACAACATAGATATCAAATGCTTCTTAATGTAACACAACTGAGATTTGGGAATACACTTTCTTAGTTACATGTAATTACGAATTGTAGTAGTTTTGAGGGGTTAAGTCCCATTCTAGACTCGAACACCAACTCTCAGAGTGAGGCACCTAATCGCCAGTACACAAAGTCAGCGTTCTAACCCACTCAGACACAGAGGCTTCAACACAAACTGAAGTTCCAACTGGGTGTCTAGATGGAGTACTTTGTGTATTGGTGTTTTTTTATGTAATTGTATTTGTAACATTGCTACGGGAAAACTGCTTGACCGATTTTCTAAATTTACATCGACCAAAAAATATACGTATGTGTGTATTCCATCACAACAAGCCTACATATGGCATATACATATATAAAATACATGTGATTATGCGTCACGGGCTCGCATCCCTCATCTCAAGTAACGTGTACAGTTGGTTGTAACATGTGTTGGAAGGAAGACAGAGAGACACAGATATATAACCTAAACCTGACACAGATATCCAACGGCACATCTTACAGCGCTAACGTAACCTCACCATCAATCCCCACACATATACACAGACTATCCCCAAAACACACCGGTCCACACTCATACACACACTATCCCCCACCCCAACCCCCAACACGCCGGTCCATATAAACACCAGCCACCCAAAACACCATCCACCACACTCTCCACCACACTATCCACTACACCATCCACCACACTATCCACAACACTATCCACCACACTATCCTCCACACCATCCACCACACCATCCCCAAAATCATCCCCAACACCATCCATCACACCATCCATCACACCATCCACCACATCATCCACCACACTATCCACCACACTATCCACCACACCATTCACAACACCATCCACCACACTATCAACCACATCATCCACCACACCACCCAAAACACCATCCACCACACCATCCACCACACCATCCACCACACCATTCACAACACCATCTACCACACTATCAACCACATCATCCACCACACTATCCTCCACATCATCCACCACACCATCCATCACACCACCCAACACACCACCCATAACACCATCCATCACACATTCCCCCACACCATCCATCACGCCATCCCCAACACCTTCCATCACACAATCCTTCACCCCATCCACCACACCATCCATCACACGACACCATCCCCCACACCATATATCACACTATCCCCACACAATCCACCAGGACACTCATCACATCATCCACTGCACCATCCCCAACACCATCCCCCACAACACCCATCACACCACCCATCACACCACCCATAACACCATCCATCACACATTCCCCTACACCATCCACAACACCATCCATCACACCATCCACAGCACCATCCATCACGCCATCACCGAATCCATCCACCACACCATCGATCACACCATCCATCACACCATCCCCTACACCATCCATCACACTATCGATCACACCATCCACAACACCATCCACTGCACCATCCTCCACACCACCCCCCACACCACCCATCACATCATCCACCACAACATCCATCACACCATCCACCACACCATCCAAAGCACCATCCATCACGCCATCCCGACTCCATCCACCACACCATCAATCACACCATCCATCACACCATCCCCTACACCATCCATCACACCATCCATCATACCATCGATCACACCATCCATCACTCCATCCACCACACCATCCTACACACCATCCATCACAACATCCCCTACACCATCCATCACACCATCCATCACACCATCGATCACACCACCCATCACTCCATCGACCACACCATCCTACACACCATCCATCACACCATCCCCTACACCATCCATCACACCATCCATCACACCATCCATCACTCCTTCCATCACACCATCCAGAACACCATCCTACACACCATCCACAGCACCATCCATCACGCCATCCCCAACTCCATCCACCACACCATCCATCACACCATCCCCTACACCATCCATCACACCATCCATCACACCATCCATCACTCCTTCCATCACACCATCCACCACACCATCCATCACACCATCGATCACACCATCAATCACTCCGTCCATCACACCATCCAGAACACCATCCTACACACCATCCACAGCACCATCCATCACGCCATCCCCAACTCCATCCACCACACCATTCATCACACCATCGATCACTCCATCCACCACACCATCCACCACATCACCCATCACACCATCCGCCACACCACCCACCACACCATCCACCACATCATCCATCACAACATTCCCCACACCATCGATCACACCATCCATCGCTCAATCCTTCACACCATCCACAGCATCATCAATCACGCCATCCCCGAATCCATCGACCACACCATCGATCACAGCATCCATCACACCATCCCCTACACCATTCATCACACCATCCACCACATCATCCATCACACCATCCACCATACCACCCATCACACCATACACCACACCAACCATTACATCTTCCCCAAAACCATTCCCCACCATACCACCCATCACACCATTCACCATACTATCCACCACACAGTCCACCACACCATCCACCACACCATCCATCCCACTATCCACCACATCATCAATCATACCATCCATCACACCATCCCCACACCACCCATCATACCATCCCCCACATCATCCACCACACCGTCCCCAACACCATCCTCCACACCACCCTTCCCCAACACCATCCATCACATCATCTCCCACAACACCATCCCCCACACCACCAATCCATCACACCATCCTCACACCACCCATCCCCCACATGATCCATCACACAATTCCCCCACTCCATCCACCACACCATCCACCACACCACCAATCACACCATTCATCTTACCATCCCTGACACCATCCACCACATCATCAACTACTACACTCATGATCATCACACCATCCATCACACCATCGATCACTCCATCCACCACACCATCCACCACATCACCCATCACACCATCCGCCACACCACCCACCACACCATCCACCACATCATCCATCACAACATTCCCCACACCATCGATCACACCATCCATCACTCAATCCTTCACACCATCCACAGCACCATCCATCACGCCATCCCCGAATCCATCGACCACACCATCGATCACAGCATCCATCACACCATCCCCTACACCATCCATCACACCATCCACCACATCATCCATCACACCATCCACCATACCACCCATCTAACCATCCACCACACCACCCATCACACAATCACCACACCATCCACCATACCACCCATCACACCATTCACCACACCAACCATTACATCTTCCCCAAAACCATTCCCCACCATACCACCCATCACACCATTCACCACACTATCCACCATACAGTCCACCACACCATCCATCCCACTATCCACCACATCATCCATCATACCATCCATCACACCATCCCCACACCACCCATCATACCATCCCCCACATCATCCACCACACCGTCCCCAACACCATCCTCCACACCACCCTTCCCCCACACCATCCATCACATCATCTCCCACAACACCATCCCCCACACCACCAATCCACCACACCATCCTCACACCACCCATCCCCCACATCATCCATTACACCACCCTTCCCCAACACCATCCATCACATCATCTCCCACAACACCATCCCCCACACCACCAATCCACCACACCATCCTCACACCACCCATCCCCCACATCATCCATCACACAATTCCCCACTCCATCCACCACACCATCCACCACACCACCAATCACACCATTCATCATACCATCCCTGACACCATCCCCCACACCATCCACCACATCATCAACTACTACACTCATCACACCAGCAATCACACCATCCGCCACTGAGACCACCAAACCATCCACAGCACCATCGATCACACCATCCACCACACCATCCACAACACCATCGATCACACCATCCACCACACCATCCACAGCACCATCGATCACACCATCCACAACACCATCCATCACACCATCCATCACACCATCGATCACACTATCCATCACACCATCCCCTACACCATCCACCACAACATCCATCACACCATCGATCACACCATCCATCACACCATCCACCACACCGATCCAGGTCTCCTACATGTACATGGGAGGCGAAGGTGACACAAATCTCGAATCGGTTTGTATCTTTGCAGGGTTTCAATTTCAAGACTATTGGTTTCTTTTTATATTGGAAAATATTCTATGACAGCTTTAGATCAATGAAATAACGTGCTTGCCAAGTAAAAGTGCTAAAATTCAACATACTGGAAAGAGTCTTTTAAGTTCAGATGAAGACAATGATGAGTTACAATTACGAGAATCGTATAGTCTACTAGTATTTTACGGGTGATTCAATATGTTCATTAATACTTTCAGTTTTAAATATCATTTCAAACACCTGTGTCTTTAATATCGTACAAATAAAGTACAATGTCAGTTATGGACAACCAACAATCAAACAATTTAATCGCCATTGACTGCATACCTAAAGCTTACGTCAAATAATATGATGAGTTTGTTCTTGTGAAATTGTTTTGAAAGACGTCCAACTTTTAACCAAAACGTTTGATACTTTGGGAATGTTTCGTACACCAAATGGTTTGATTGTCCACATGGGTTCAATGTGTGAGGCCCATTTCTGGTGTGATATTGCTGGATTGTTGCTAATTGCGACCTAAAACGATACTCACTCGCTAACTATTCGTACAGTTGTTCCTGTGTTACAACCACTATCTTTCACTGTAAATATCAAGTGTAGTGTTCCATTTGTAAGTAGTGGACGTATGCTCCATTTCTTTGTATTTTAGGCGTCAAATTCAACCAAACTGATGAAAAGAAACAATAAAAGAGTACGAAGCATAGTAGAAAATATTTACTTTGTTGTTGAGCCAACAAATTAAAGTCCTGATTGAATGGCTGTCACCGGATCTAACCAATAACAGTGTAATATGATACATGTTGAACGAAGGCAAATCATGGAAAGTATTCCATTAGAAACTTCCTACAGGAATACCAATCGATAATAAAACGTTCATAATATAACCTTGCGGTTGAAATAGGACACCAACATCGGGCACTCCTTGTTCAGGATTGGGATGACCCTTCTAGGATAAATAGTACACAAAAACCTGGGTTGTCAATTACCAGTTTTACCGCAAGCACATTTACTTTTTCACAGTTCTGTCTTTTACAAAGTCTCGTAGAAAATGCTACAGCTGCTGCAGAAAATGCCAGGATGTTCCTAGAGGGCAGCACACTGATCCCATGACCATTGCTTTCTGATGTAAACCAATTAAGATTTGTCGACTTGTCTTGAAGGACAAGAGCTAAAACCATTGAGTTTTCCTTCTGTTTGCAAAAGTCGAAAGTGCCCAGTAATACACTCAAGCCTCTAGCTGGGACAGTGTTTGGATCTCATTTCGTTGAGAATCAGAATTGCCCATGGACTACAGAGATGGCGAAAGATGCAGTGCGACGTTGTCCTGCTGCTGTCCCTCATAACCTGATATAGGGTCACAATTCATCAGCTTAAACTGAACAAGCATTCACTCTGATTTGATTAAGCTGGTAACTGCCTTGAGAAACACGGCTTGAGATCACGAGACAGTTAATTGCGCATGAGAAGCAACATCACATGCCATGAGATTTCAAGACGTCGAGACATGACTGTGGTAATGTGGTCAGTTCCTCAGTATAAACCAAACTGATACTGTAGTCCCAGGACTGGGAACTCTCCTGTGAACATTGCAAACGTCTGTTCGAGACAAGACGTATTAATTGGCGAGCGCCCTTACAGACCCTTTTTGGCATAAACCCACTTGAGAAATTCATTATCTTATAAACTAAATGTATCTTGTTTCTACAGGACAAACAAAGGTGAGGTTAAATGGGGTTTAACGTCACGTGCCCGATTATTGCACCCATATGGCGATGTGCATGCACGTGTGTGTGTGGCTGACTCCGAGCCGACCAGTCCTTGCTTAGTGACTCTTTTTATATACACGTGTGTGAAGTGCATGTAATCTGCAGCACTGTTTGACTGTACACGCAGCGCCGCCCCAAGACTAATGAAAGCCCTAATAAATATTGTCATGCATAATATATGCACTGGCGTGTACTAGCGGATGACACACATCAAGTGTATTGAATTGAT